GGCCGATATTCGGATAGAGATAGCGATAGAGCGATCCTCTTGGCGTGCAGACGCTGACGCGCCCCTTTGCAAAAATGTAAAAGAAAAAAAAAAAAAAAAAAAGAAACGAAAGCGCAAAAAAAAAAAAAGCAGGCAAGAACGAGGTAAAAAATGTGGCATGCAACGCCTTGATGTCTTCTTCGACTCGGGAGAAGACTGAAGACTGCAGAGTGAAGACCGAAGACGGAAGACTCGAGACCCCGAGATCCAAGATCCAGGGACGTCTTCATTAAAACAACAAAACATTTATGCGCCGCTTTGGCATGTCGATCGTAGCTGGGAGATCGTTTGAGAGCAGTTCGTCATGGCAGCAGACTGGGCAAAGCTCCGGGCAAAGGGGGGTTAAGATGGGGGTTAAGAGGGGGTTAAGAGAGGGTTAGGGGGGCAACTGGCAACATCGTAACAAGATGCGTAAAAATTATTGATTTTCTTTGACTTGATTGTTGTTGGCTATCAAAATTTAATCATAACATGCAGCACAACCGGCAAACAGAAGAGAGAGAGGTACACTGGGAAAAATGTTAGTGCTATAAAAAAGAAAATATAAGACTAAAAATAGAAATGATATTAAATTAACTAACCAAATGATTGAAATGAAATATTATTTAGGTTTGATCTAAACCTTGTCTTGAACCGGTTGGGAATTATAGACTCTTTATCGTTTTAAACACGATTCTTTGGGGTATACAAGATTTGTTCGAGTGTAGGAGGATGGCAAGGAGTAGGGGCAACAGGTACTGGTAGTTGGAGATGGCTAGCATGTTGCCAAGTTAACCACTTCCCCCTCCCCTTTGAATTTTCAATTTTGCATCGCAGCAGCAGGGCAAAGTAATTTGCCGCGTTGACGTGCCTGGCCTGGCAGATGAGCAATGACCCGGCCCGACCAGATCGCCAGATCGCCAGAACCCAGACCCCAGAATTCAGAACTGAGACCCCGAAAACCTTACCATACCAGAAAACCCGGACAGCCTTTTGCTGTCGATTTCACTCGCTCGTCGTGTCGATCAATTCGTTTTAATGCAAACAACTCGTATAAATTCATGTGGCAAGTGGGCAGCCAGCCGGTGTTTCTCGGTTCCCCGTCCCCCAGCTCCTTGGCGATCCCTTCCTGGAAACACTGGCGAGGCACCGGGCACTGGGCACCAGGCAAAGTGCAAAGAAATTCATTAAATTAAGTGCCACACATTTGTGGCCCACTGTGCGGTGCCTTTGGAGAACGGAGCTCTGCGCTCCGATTGCGGTTATTATTGCTCGCCCATAAAGCGGTCGACGGAAATGAGACTGTGGTGGACAAGGACTTGGATGGGTTAGCTTGGAATGGGCCAGAACCCAGTTGAGTGACGGCGTCAGAGTTGTCGGGACCTAGACAAATTACTGGGCACCTCGCAAATGGCGATTGTCCGGGTGTCTACTGTAATGCGCTTGGCGGAGCCTCGCGTCGCGTCGGCTAATGATGATGGACTCGTAGCGATCGACTCACTAGGGGTGGTAAAAAACAGGGAATCTCTGAGGTATTTATCCCATTTTATGTCTACTAAAAATGCTTAGCCGAAACTTTGGTTAGGCTACTGAAAAGGCCAAGTACAGTAATACGAAAAGATTTATCATAGCTAAAGGATGAAAAATATCGTAATTATCGAACCAATATATCGAAATTTCGATAATTTTCAAGTTCTATCTCAAAGTCATCTATAATAACCACCAGCTTCCCACGTTATAAGTACTAAACAGTTTAACACACTCCAAACATCAAAGTTAGAGTCGGGAAAAGGAAAACTCGGACAATCCATCAAAGTGCCCAGGAACTAAACGCCTTTGACAGGCAATGAAAAGCATCGCTGGGAAAGGGGTTAAAACTGGAGTTTAAAGTGTGATACAGAGGCGTCCGAGGGAAATCCCCGTGTCAAAGGGGCACGTGTCTGACTTTGCGCCCGATTCTGGGCACTATTTTTTTGGTGATCATCCCGGAGGGTTGACTCAGCTGAAAAAAAAGAGGGTCGCACAATTAGCAGCCGTAATAGTTTATGTGGCCTAACTTGTAGCCCTTTTTTTGGAACATTCCTTTTTTTTACTTTATTTTTGGGTGTTTTATTTGTGTATTTTTTGTACAGTGTTTTTTATTCTATTTTTTTTTGAGTCAGGCAAATCAAATCATGTGACAAGCTTCTAATGAACCTCAGAAGGCACCCCAAAATGTTTTTTTTTAATTTGGTGACTCTACATTTTTCCCAGCCAGGCGACATTTGTGCGGCCTATAAATGCTAATGAGCCCTCACATTTTTTTTTTGGTTGCTTTCGCCAGTTTCAATCTCTTTTTTTTATGGATTTTTAGGGGCATTTTTTGGGTAATTTTTTGTGGGTCGTTTTGGAGGTGGAAAGCCGTCGTCGTTATGGAAGGAAGTCTGATGTCCTTGTGCTCTCTGCTCATCATCATCATCGTCCCGAGGGCCTCCTTCCTTCATCTGCGTGTGCATTTTGTTCCACTTGAGTTTGTTTGTTTAACGACCTTTGAAATTAGGCAAAACTAAGGGGCAAAGGATGAGGCCCGATGCTCTGGGCTCTGTTCTCTGTTCTCTGGGGTTGGATTCTGTGGATTCCCCGATTCTCGTTTCTCGACTGGCCGGCAGACAGCAATTTATACTGTTTATATGCTAATTTCGTCGATCGCCTTTTCACCCAGACGCCTTTTGCATCTGATTCGGATTCAGATGCATATTTGCCATTTGCTGGCCTAATTTAAATTGGGTTAATGCTTTTAATTAGCCGGCTTTAAAGGGGGGGTGAACGGAACAACGAGTGTCGGAGGGTTGAAACTCTTGAGCAACGGAATAATTTACTTGAGTTATGAGTAAGCGAGAAATCGATTTCTTGAATAAATTCAATATAATCTTTGAAAGTCGGTAAAAGTGTTTATACTTTAATTCCAATATTGTTGGAATTTTTCTACTGCTCACAAAAAAAAACGCATGATATGAAGCTAGGATCGATTTGATGTTATGTGGTATCAATTTTGACTTGTTATGCAGGCATCTCAATTCGATATGCTTGCATTGTCACATTGCTTCTTCTTTTATTTTTCGAAGCCAGAGAATCTCCGAGAGAGAGATTTCGGTAAAAACGATATGCGTATGCAATACCAGAAATTACCATGCGCATATCGAACTGACCGCGATGTGTTTTTTTGTGTGTAAAACAATTACAAATAATTTTAAGTGAGTTAAATTCAAATGCGTTTTATGTTTTTTTTTTAAATAAAACTCTTATTTGTTTTTCGCAATGTAGCCTTATAGATTCCCTCCATCCTACGACTTCCCCATCAATCCTTGGGGGTCTCATTCGGCTGCAGTTGTGCCACCTTGGTTCGGGCCAGCTCTAAATGGCCGGCAAATGTTTTAACCATTAACTGCCACGCCCCATATATCGATTGCGGGCCAACAACCAAGAGCACATGAGGCTGCCCCCCATCAACCCACTGTGTTGTTAATCCAAATCCCAGAGCTCAGGAGCCAAAACAAAACAAAAGCCAAAGACCTGTTCCAGTTCACTCTGAATCTGAATCTTCGTGGCAAATTAGGAGGACAAACCCCCGAAATGCTGCGGCACACAAAACTATGCCAGATACGAGTTCGTATACCTCCTCCTCTTCTGCTTTTCCTGGGTAGTCGGAGTCGGAAAGTCAACAAAAACCATAATTCAGATAATTTTATTTATAACACCCTTGAGGAATTATATTTTATTTACTCTTTCAAGTGTGATGATGAGGTCGAGAGCGAAGTGGTAAGGGGTAAGGGCATTGTTGGATGGACCGATACCGATATGGCCAGAGTCCTTGTCAGGGACCTGCCCCCTTTGTTGTGTTTCGGTGTTTTGGTGTTCGGTGTTTTGGTGTTTTGGTGCCTGCTGAACTCTATGAAACGTCTGGCTCAGGGGGTTGAACTCCGTCCTTCGACTCCTTCGATTTGCTAGCAGATGTGTTTGTAAATTGTCAAAATCTGTGTGCATTTCAGCATATGAAACTCACGTTCCATGATTTTTATTGTATTTCTGGTTTTCGTTTTAGTTTTTGGGAGGTGTGCTGCCTCTCTTGGTGGTTTGTGCGGTTAGCCAGTGGCCAGAAAAGCCCCAAGTCCCTGAAAACCCCACCGAAACCCCCTCGTAATTGCCCAGTCGGCAGGAGCAAAAGCAGAAGCACTGGCAAATTTTTGCAATTAAATTTCACTTAAAACTGCAACTGAAGGGATACGAAACGTTGGGTTGGGCAGAAGGGGGAAAAGGTCCGTAGGAGTAATTTACTTCCGCCATTGGAGCTTTAAACATATCCGAGCAACACCCACCACTTCCTAATTGTGGAAACCAATTTGCGCCGCTATAAATTAGAAAGACAAACGACGCTCCTCCTTGAATCCTGCTGAATTTTCCGAGGGGCTGACGGGCTGGCTGGCTAGCAAGGGGGCGTGGCCGGCGCTTCCTGCTACGTTACCATTTCCATTTCGGTTTCAGTTCCTGCACTCGCATATCTTGGAAATTTGCATAAATAGACTTTAATTGTTTGCAATTATAAAACGAGACCGAAACAAGCGGCACCGCCTCCCCTTCGGTGGAAACATGGATACATGGATACGTGGAAACGCGGACTCGGGAATTCATGGACATAGGGATACACCCTGGGACTGCGATTCACTCGGTCGATATCCAGCAGATACTATTTATTCCGATTTATTGTGCCTGCGATATAGTAAGACTCTTATTTTGCCAAATTCTTATAGTAACCGATTAACACTATTAACTAGGCAAAATCCATCTCAGTTCATCATAGTTTAATAATACTAGTTAGTTAGTCGATATTTTTACAATATTTATACGAAAACATCGATGTTTTCAAGGGAAAACTCCCTTAAAATGTAGAGAAAGGTCAATAACATTACAATGAACTCATGTCTTTTTTTCTTCTATTCATGTAGACTCCAGTCATGAGGATAATGACAGCGAGGAGTCAACTTCAGCTATTATCAAAAAAGAACCCAAATCCAATCTGGAACCGGATGAGGATGCGGATGCGGATGTGGATGTGGAGTCCTCGAAGCGCAGGCGCTGCAGGACCAACTTCAACTCCTGGCAGCTGGAAGAACTCGAGAGAGCCTTCCTGGGAAGCCACTATCCTGACATTTTCATGCGAGAGGCCCTGGCCATGAGGCTCGATCTGAAGGAGGGTCGCATAGCGGTGAGTTGGAAAAATCATATATGTGTTATCATAAAAATCCCATATAATCTTCAAGCAATGCCTATCCCCAAGTTCCCTACCCCATCACAATACCTTCCCATTTCGATCCGCGTTTCGATAACATTTGCGTGAGCATTGTAAAACAATTTGGTGGCAACTGGAACTCAATTACTCAATAAAACCAATTACCTGACTATTTTTATCCATTATAATTCATTTTATTTCATTTGCAATTGCGTTTCGTGTCGCTCGTTGTTGTAATGATTTCAATTGCATTCCCAGAGCGGAGCTTAACCCTTTGTCCCCACTCTTAACCCCCAATCCCCCTTGGACCCTCCCCAATCTACGATGGCTGACTTTGCATGTCAGCCGTGTGATTATCGTGGCTCTTTGTCTATCTGGCTATCGTGGCTATATATGTGGCTATATAGCTATTCGGCTACATAGGTATAGCCCTCTCTTTTTCCTTTTTTTTGGGTTCGGGGACGGGGACATTTGGCTACGCTTTTCGTCTGAAATTGTTTCTTGACATGACATATCAATTTGTCAATGCGAACGACAAGACAGCGACAGTCTGTCCGTTCGTCATTCCCTCCAGTCAGTCAGTCATTCATTCGAATGCAACTCCCCAGGTTTTGGAGGTAAAAATTTCAGGAGGGGGAGTCTCTTGTTAAAGGCATTGCATGTCGCCGTTCGAAAACAATTTGTTGCACATTAAAAAATGCACAATGCATGCAAATGACTTCAAATTGTCACACACACACACACGGGTGGCCGCCCACTAGAAAAACCCCTCCTCGACTCCGCCCCTGGCACCTCCCCCCTCGATACGCTTGGGTTCCCCGGCAAACTGCACGTCAATTAGCGACGCCATCTTGTTTATGACTCCAACTAACCAAAGCAACCATCCCCATCTCCATCCTCATCATCATCATCATCACGATCTCCACCGCGATGATAATGACGATCCATCTCCAGAACGCATGACATATTATTGCCCTTGGTCTGGTTAATCGTCCGCATCCGAATTGGTGACTTATTGAAATGAAATGGAGGTAATGGATATGTCTGTCTAGGGATACTCACTCATTAGATAACTTATTTTTACAATCTATGGATAGGTTTTATGTCTATACTAAGTAAAGATCCTGATACTCACTCACTAGATAACTAGATAACGAAGTTTTGGACCATTTTTGGCCAAGTTACCGCAAAAAAACAAAAAGGAAAAATTCCTATTTTTACCAAAAACCCAAACACCAATTTTACAAAAAAAATTAGTTTTTTGACCATAACAATGGAAATATAGATCCAAATATGGATTGTCATACCTTTCTGAACTCGTTATTAAATTTCCAATCGATTGGCATTTAAACCTGGACATTTTATTTTTTTGCCATTTTTCTTAAAAAATTATGATGTTACCCCTTGTAAAAAAATTGAAAATTTACGAAAATTTTATTTTTTCATGATCACCCGGAAAGTGTCACGGATTTATTTATTGTCTTGTTATCTGTTCAAAACAGTATGTATTTTTCGTGTAGGACCATTTTTGGCCAAGTTATAGCAAAAAAACGAAAGGAAAAAAGTTCAAGTTTCTACCAAAAACCCAGACCACAATTTTTCACAAAAAAAAAGTGGAAATATTGATCCAAATATGGAATGTCATACCTTTCTGAACTCGTTATTAAATTTCCAATCGATTTACATTTAAGCCTGGACATTTTATATTTGTGTCATTTTTTTTTTTGTATTATGATGTACCCCCTTACAAAAAAGAAAACTACTAAAAGATCTAAAGATGTATACCTAGTCTTGATACTAAATCCAATTTTCTTTGCAGGTTTGGTTCCAAAACCGACGTGCCAAGTGGCGCAAAAAGGATCACACGAAGAAGGGTCCTGGGCGACCGGCGCACAATGCCCAGCCGCAGAGTTGCAGTGGAGCTCCCATTCCGTTGACCGAACTGCGGGCCAGAGAGCGGTGAGTACGAGATCGGTGAGGGAAGCAGCCCAGATAACCCTGATCACTAACCTTAACCCCGATCCTTGCGCAGAGCTCAACGCAGGAAGCGGATGAAGAAAGCGATCGATCGGCAGGCGAGGAAGCTGCGTCTCAAGGGAATCGAGGTGGACTTGGCCCGGCTAAAAGCGGATTACCTGGCTGCCCACAAGGACATCTGGGAGAAGGAGGAGGAGGAGGCGATGGAGGAGGAGGACCTAAGTTTCTACGAGGGCGAGGACGATCTAACCATCGATGTGGTGGGCGAGGACATGACCGGCGACAGTCAGGACAACTCGTTCTGCTCCTCCAGGACGACCTATCAGAAGAGCACCAGCAGCGAACTGGATCCCGATGAGCCCGATACTGGGGTGCCCATTAAACTGGAGACTGTACCTCCTCCACCCTCACAAACTAAAACCCCCTACAGCTCCCCCTTCAGCATCGAGTCCCTGTTGGGCTCATAGCGAATAACTGTAGTAAAGTAGGCTTACGATTGCGATAATGGTGGCTAGCTAATAACTAAGTGCGAATATAACCTGAAAAAAAACCCAAAAACCAAATTCTTTCCCGGCGGTCAAGAGTGTGCCAGTGCAAATTTGAGTACGGTTAGGAGTACGCATGCCGAAATGCGAGTGCATTTTAATTTCCAGACAACAGCCCTCGAGGCTCTCGAGGGGCAAGACATAAGAAACCAGCGAAGAGAGAAAAGCAGCTTCAGGAGGCGGAGGCAGTGCATCCATCAAGTTCACACGCAGCTCGCACGGTGGAGTCGATCGGTTGGACTAGGTGGTAAAATAAGTGAACTTTTGTCGATAAAGATTTGCGATTTGCAGATTTAAAAGAGCTATAGGTTATCAATAGGTTATCCCTCTTGTAGTGATGCATTCTCATCGTTATCGATCACCGATCGCTGGTACTATAAGCTTTTCACACTAGCCACTTCATTCTCCATGGTGCCGCTCATCATCAGCATCCCAAAGTCGCACTTTCGACCTCGGGGCAATTTCAAAAATGCAACTCGCGACCGTTGGAGCAGAGACAGAGGCAAGGACGGCGGACTCACAAATGTAATACACACATCAGGCAAATAAATTAGAAGGCAACTCCTTCGGCAGAAGCGTCAGCCAGGCCGCGCCCCCCGTTCGCACTCGTGGCTCAAGGTGCCGGTGTCGATCCTCCAGTCCTACAGTCTGCAGTCCTACAAAATGGTAGATATACCGAGCCGAACTTAAACCAAACCCAAAAACCCAGGTGAGTGGGGATGCAGAGTGGCGAGTAATGCAGACAATCCGTCATGCAGGTGTGAATGATTCATTAATTTCTCGCCTTCATACGAATTTTCATTTCAGTTAACATGCAAGCGGAACCGAAACGAGCCTCAAAGAGTTACGCACACGGCGAGAAAAACCTGATGACTTGTTATTATAAATAATAAGATAAGATTTGTTTATAGTCCTGTATTCTTCTAGGGCAGTGGCGGATCTAGGATTTTGTTGTGGGGCGGGATATCAAAACAATTTTATTGTTGCATACTTTTTGAGTACCAACATTCCTATAATCAATAACCCATATCACTTCCTGTGGATTCGCGCATGTTCTAGGGATAAGAAAATGATCTTCCTGAAATCAAATTCACTTAGCAACTTAGGGATTTAATTTAGAAATTTTAGTTAGGATCTAAAAAAGTAGCCCCTGCATTTTCTTTAAGTGTGTCCAGGATCGGTAAAGAGGGTAAAACGGGAGAATAACTCTGAAGATGGAGATGGGGCTGGACTTTAACGGCGACGTATGCCTGGCAGCTTTCTTGAAGATCCACATTCGCATAGCCCACTGCTGATCCTCCGAGCTTAACGTCTTCATTACGCACGGCCACGGCCCACGTTTCCTGCCCCGAACCGAACCGAACCTCTCCTGAAACCCCGAGAAACCGAGAAACAGAAACCGAATCAGAAAGTCAGAAAAAGAAACAGAAACATCGAAAGGCCAGAACCACTCTGTCTCTGTTGCCAATTTCGTTTTGCATTTTCAATTTCGTGGCATTTCCTTTCGGGATTTGTGGATCTCTGGATCTGGGGATCTCGAGATCGGGAGATCTGGATAGGAATCGAGCTAAGCCAGCGGGTGGCCAGCGGTCGCAGCTGGTGGGGATTGTCTGCGGATCCGAGTGCGTTAATTAGCTGATGAGCCCAAAGATCAAATGCCAATTAACCAATCGAAGTGCACAAAAGGGGCTCTAATTGAATTAGGGTTAAATGACCCCGCTGCGAAATCAGAGTTGTGCAAATAAAAGAATCAAATTATGTATTTTATAGGTTGTGGGAATTTGTTCTTGATTCAAATATAATACATATTAAATTTGATATGAAACCATGATCAATTTGATATTATGTGGTATTAATTTTGACTTGATATTCGGCATCTCAATTTGATATGCTTTTAAAATAGTTTTAACCCGCAATCGCAACCAATTGGATTTAACAATAATAAAAATCCACTTATTGTTAGCTGGTTAACTGGTTTCACATTGCACAATCACTTCTAGCCAATTCAATTTTTCAACCAATTGAGTTAATTTGAAAACAGATTCATTTAGCCTTTTGGAAAAATACATTTTATTTACCAAGCGTAATTATACAATTTATTTATATGGTCCCAAAAATTGTTAAGTTCCAATAAAGATTCCTCAAAATTAGCCCTGACCTAAGACGAGTGTCTTCCTAAAGTTGCAAAACCAAACTTTTGGGATACAAACGATATGCATGCGATTTCACACGAATTGCGACTGGCGGGTCGTAAAGAGCTCTCAATGATCTTGGCCTGCTGTTTGCCGTTTGGATGGATCTTAATATAACAACAATTCATATTTTTTATTACACCTACTTTGGGGCCCACAAAAGCGACGTTGAGCCGATCGGCGACCCAGCGAAATGAAGGCGTTAACCAACTTTAATACATTTATTTGGGCCACAAAGCCGGACTCGCCAGGATTGGGGAATGGGATGGGATATAGGGATGGGGGTCTCGAACTCGGGAACGCGGGATTTCAGAGACTCCGAAACTCGGGCGCAGGCGCAGCAGTCGCTGCCATATCTGTCCAAAGTAATAATTATGTTTCACGTTGTTATCCTAATTTACGTGCCCCAGAACAGAGACCTAAACAGAATCCCAGTATGAGGCGCACTTGGAAAAATAAATGTTAATTAATTTTAATTTCATGTTTTTTGGTAATAATCGAAAATAATTTATTTGAAATTAATTGTAAATGCTGTAAAAAAATCAAAGAAAATTAAAGAATTCTTTTTAAAATAAGAAAGCAAATTAATAAACATTTTTTTTAATTTCTTCTGATATTCTTAAAAATTGCAAATATATTGCGAAACTATTTTTTGCAAGTGCCTGAACCTGAACCTCCGTCACAACCGATGCCCGGGGCTCAAAGTGAAGCTTCAGCTTTAGCTTCAGCCAAAACTGAGGCTCATCATCGTCGGCTGGTCGGCGCATTTCACTGGAAAAATATTAAACACAAAGCGAGATACTGAAAATTGATTTCTCACCTTCGTGCACGTTATGGAGGTGGAGGTTTTCAAGTGGAGGTTTCCAGATGGAGATGGAGAGGTCTGCTCCGTCCTCCGTCCTGTCTTTGTGGCTTATAATTAATTAATACGTAGCTGCACATGTACAAATACAGGTATAAATATCCGGATTTGGATATAGCACTTCGTGATTTGCACGCCCGCCGCGTTTCGTTTGACGAGCTCGAAAAACATTTCAATAATCATAATCTCGAAGGGGTTTGGAAGGGGGTATGGAAGGGGGTTTGGAAGGGAGTAGGGGCTTGGTTATGGGTATCCCAAAACAAATCTACGGAGAAAGAGGAAGAGGAGGAGAAGGAGGAGGAAGGAACCCACCAGACAGCCTGTCGCAGTGCCACCTCCCCCTTTTCCACGGGGGCCGCTCTCCTCCACTCGTAAATTAACATTTATCTGTGAATTTATTGCATCATCGAGAAAAGTTTTCAATTCGCTGGAGAAGCAGCCGAGAAACGGAGGAGCGATTGGCGGTGGGGGATAGTCTGGTAGGAATCCCCATGCCATAACCCATACCCAAACCCCTTCCCATACCCCTTCCTATACCCCTTACCATTCCCATTCCCAAGCACCTGTTGGTCAATGGGAAATTTATTTGTCATTCCTCTTGCACCATTTGTCGTGGCTTTTAATTTGCTTTCAAAACGCAGCTTAGTTTTCCATTTCGAAATCCTAGTCTTCCTTTTTTTTGGGAGGGAGGATTACCTATTTCATTCGATTTGGTTTTAAAGTTTGTGCACTCAAAAAAAAATTTTAGAAAATCGCCTATGGATTTGCTTTACTGGCGATTTTTTTCTATATTTCTGGAATATTTCTTGAATTTAATGAATTTTGATTATTTGGAAGAAAATTTTCTTTACCAGTAGAAAATTTTTTTATTTTAAAGAAAAAAATCGCCAGTGAAGCAAATCCATAGGCGATTTTCTAAAATTCAGGGCGATTCATTTTCTGAGTGTGGGCTTTTAAAATGAATCTTAAGAAATTTCAGCAATAAATAAGATATTTTGTATTACATTGTTTTAATGACATTTTAGAGTTAAAAAAGAGAAATCATAATTACTTGTACTTAATTAATTTCGTAATATAGGGCATCTAGATATCGGTCTTATTCCCAACTTTTAAGCCGACTCTTTTGTTATTATTGTTTTCTTTGAATTTTGTTGGGAGTTCAGTCCCCCTCTCCGGAAAATCCCGACGTGACATTTTAAAACGAGCATGGCATATAAAAATTTGTATGATATGATTTTTATAGACTCCAAATCGATTTTTTTATGATCATCGCTGCCGCTTTTTATGCGCCTCTCCGCGGTTTTATGTGACAGCAGTGCAGCGGGGGTTAAAGCTGTTCGGGTGTTAGGTGTTAATGTTAACCCATTCGAGGCCCCAGATGGATTTTTTATGTAATTATGTAATTAGGTGTTGAGGCAAACAATTTAAGAGAGAGAATAACAATAAGGGAAATTTAAGAAAATATTGAATAATGGCCGGAGGACCGTTAGGTGGGCATTTCTGCCTCCTTATCGAGTTATTCAGATCGCACGACATATGGGCCATATACGATCGATATGCTGTCGAAGAAGAAGACTCCCAGTCAATATCCGGTCGTTGCCGATCGGGCGGCCACCTGTTGTGCCAATGCCCCTTTTTCTATGTGCGCCGCATTTTTAATTTAATTTTTTTTTATTATTTCTCTTCTTGCACTCTCCTTCATATGCAAGCTTAAATTATTTCGTGCGGGCTTCAACTTCGAACCGAAGCGAACCTCCTGCCGCCGGTGATTAATAAAGCCAACATCCAAAACCATGCTGGATCGGAAAAGGTACAGGGACTTGGACTTGCAACAGCAACAGCTGGCTGCAACAGCCTGGCCAATTCCCATTGCCAATCCCGTTCGTGAGAAGTGAAGAGCAGAGAGGCCGGGCCCAAAAAGGCCCAAGTCCCACAAGCATAAGCAGTTGACTTTCTTTTTTATGGACTAATCATCATTTTAGGCAGCCACTAATTGGCGAGAGTTTACACGTACTCCTTGATTTTTTCCGGATATGATCTTTCAAATAAATGTAGACCTATTAAACTCATAAATATATCCAAATTTTAATTGAAAATTAACAATATTATAATATAAATAACAATTTTAAACATGCAAATTAAAATCAATCAGAAAATATATTATGAAGAGTGATAAAAAATGTAATCTATGGTTATTATTCAATCCTAATCGCACCCAAAAAAAACGATATAAAACAATGATCGATTTTACGTTATGTAACATCAATTGTAACTTGATATGCGGTCACTTAAATTCGATAGGCTCGAAAACGTAAAAACGATATTTCGGTAATATCATTTAAACCTTAAAAGGGTATCAATTTCTTTTAATTGCTTTATTTTATTTTACAATAGCGGCTTCTTACAAATGGTGGTCTTTTCCTTGTACATTTTACCCAAATATCATCCCACGTTAAAACAAAATTCATTTAGTTAATTTTTCATTTGATTTTATTTTCTTACTAAGTTTAAAACGAACTGTACACTAATAGTAGGTGTTAACCTTTATATTTATAGATAAATATTTACAAGGGGCATTTTCCCCACATTTTCATTTCTTCAGCACCGCATTGGCACTGGTGTCCTGGTGGAGTGCGAGGAATATCCTGAGGCGGTGGTACGAGCAGGCCACCCGACATCCCCGGGTGCAGAACTCCCGATCCGCGCACATGGAGGTGGCCAGGCTCCGCTGGACGACGACGAGGACGCGGCAGTAGTCGTGGCACATGTAGCACTCCGGACGTGAGCGGCAGAGGAGCGGGGGAGTGATGACCGACAGGGACTGGCGGTAGCAGCGCTCCCGGCACTCGCCGATTCTCCGCGGTAGATCCTCCTGGGCAAGACTACTTCCACTTCCGGTGGAGGCATCTCCAGTTATAGATGCGCCCAGCGCATCGCCAGTGAGGAGAATGATAATTGCGCAGAGGAAGGTGATCCTTAGTACGGCTGCCATGTCTCTAGATTCTGCGATTTTTTCCTTCTTTGCTATTACGGAAATTGTAAAACAGTGTGTGGATCGCTTGAGGTTTCCTGGGCTTCTGATTGTCCCGGTCTTTCTGGCTCGCCTTATATACCACAACCCGGTTTCATTCACAAAACGTCTGGAAAATCCCGGCTCACTACCTGGTCACCATATACTTATATACTTATTATGCCATCCCAAGTCCAGGATGGATCGGAATCGGATCTCTGGGATTCAGGTAATTGACAACACGTGTGCGCAACGCTTCGCTGACCAATTTTCATGAATGGCCGGCTCTGCGGGAAATCCCCTGGAATTTCCCGCCATTCAATGGCCTTTACCTGAAAACGGGTTGAAAATCCCCGCTCTTGTGGCGCCATTCGGTGACAGTTTTTATTGTTGCGTAATACGTTTCTAACTGATCTATGGCTTGAATGGCCGGTCGATCCTACCTGGCTCAAAAACGCAAGCGGACCGACGCAAGTTAATTGGGAAAGTTGCAGGTAAAACCGCACTAGGAGTCCTATTGATAAAAACCAGGCAAATTAGTCTTGGAACTAAGCTGAAGAACCGAATTTCGTCTGTCTCGTTCGTAATGGAAAGTTCTGTTAGGGAACGAATAAAATATTATTTGTGACTTAAATGTTGCATTCCGATTTGTATGGTTATATGCCGGTTATCTTCTGTTCATAGTTTAAAAAATTTGGTGTTTAAATTTTATGATATTTTTTTAAGCTGGTTTTTGTATTTAAAGGGTGGCCAGAAATTTCCTTCAATCTTAAATATCTAGTCTAATAAATTAAAGGACATTTAAATGACACACGAAGTTAACTTTTCTACATACTCAGCAACACAATTTTTCTTGGGTCAATATACAATTTTGACCAACAATTCTTAGAATGTTCTTTAATCATTAAAAAATCGGGTTTTGTACTGAATCATAGTAACTATAACATTAAATCACACTACTTTAACAAATCGGTTTTGTTTTATTTATTGTCTAATTTTCCAAGTTACCTTAATAGTAATCATTTGTTCTAATAATAATATTAATTTACATTAAAACAAATTTTAATCTGTTTAATTTCACATTGAAACATTTTTTTATTTTGTTAATGTATAAATATTTACATACTATTAACTTATTTTGTATCTGCTGGCTCCATCTACATTTGAATTTACAATGTTCTCGTATCACAAAATGTAAAGTAAATTTACATAAATTCTACAAAAATTTACTTTACTTTCTAGTTTTGGAGGATGTACTCGCTAACCTACAATCAATAAAATATCAGTATTTTGGCCATAATAATGGAAATAATGGTCCAAATATGGAATGTCATACCTCGTTGAACTCGTTATTTTATCCCCAATCGATTGGCATTCAAACCTAGAAATTTTTAAATTTTGTCATTTTTCAAAAAAGCGAAAATTGATCAAAAAATAAATTTCCCTGAAAGTGATGGGGATCGTTAGTTTAGGTCGTTAGCTGCTCAAAACAGTCATTCTTTTAGCTGTGAGCCTTGATTTGTCCAAATTATGACCGAAAAACCACAAAGAAAAGGTTATTTTCGTCGAAAATTAGAATCCATATTTTCCACACTAAAATATCAGTATTTTGGCCATAATAATGGAAATAATGGTCCAAATATGGAGTGTTACACCTCGTTGAACTCGTTACTTAATTCCCAATCGATTGGCATTCAAACCTTGAAATTTTTAAATTTTGTCATTTTTTCCAAAAAATTGTGATGTTACCCCTTATCAAAAAAGCGAAAATCGATCAAAAAATAAATTTCCCTGAAAGTGATGGGAATCGTTAGTTTGGGTCGTTAGCTGCTCAAAACAGTCGGTCTTTTAGCTGTGAGCCTTGATTTGTCCAAAATACGACCGAAAAACCACAAAAAGAGGTTATTTTCGTCGAAAATTTGAATCCATATTTTCCACCCTAAAATATCAGTATTTTAGCCATAATAACGGAAATAATGGTCCGAATATGGAATGTCATACCTCGTTGAACTCGTTATTTAATTCCCAATCGATTGGCATTCAAACCTAGAAATTTTTAAAATTTGTCATTTTTTCCAAAAAATTGTGATGTAACCCCTTATCAAAAAAGCGAAAATCGATCAAAAAATAAATTTCCCTGAAAGTGATGGGAATCGTTAGTTTGGGTCGTTAGCTGCTCAAAACAGTCATTCTTTTAGCTGTGAGCCTTGATTTGTAGAAATTACGACCGAAAAACCACAAGAAAAAGGTTATTTTCGTCCAAAATTCGAATGCATATTTTCCACCCTAAAATATCAGTATTTTGGCCATAATAATGGAAATAATGGTCCAAATATGGAATGTCATACCTCGTTGAACTCGTTATTTTATCCCCAATCGATTGGCATTCAAACCTAGAAATTTTTAAATTTTGTCATTTTTCAAAAAAGCGAAAATTGATCAAAAAATAAATTTCCCTGAAAGTGATGGGGATCGTTAGTTTAGGTCGTTAGCTGCTCAAAACAGTCATTCTTTTAGCTGTGAGCCTTGATTTGTCCAAATTATGACCGAAAAACCACAAAGAAAAGGTTATTTTCGTCGAAAATTAGAATCCATATTTTCCACACTAAAATATCAGTATTTTGGCCATAATAATGGAAATAATGGTCCAAATATGGAGTGTTACACCTCGTTGAACTCGTTACTTAATTCCCAATCGATTGGCATTCAAACCTTGAAATTTTTAAATTTTGTCATTTTTTCCAAAAAATTGTGATGTTACCCCTTATCAAAAAAGCGAAAATCGATCAAAAAATAAATTTCCCTGAAAGTAATGGGGATCGTTAGTTTAGGTTGTTAGCTGCTCAAAACAGTCATTCTTTTAGCTGTGAGCCTTGTCTTGTCCAAATTACGACCGAAAAACCACAAGAAAAAGGTTATTTTCGTCGAAAATTTGAATCCATATTTTCCACCCTAAAATATCAGTATTTTGGCCATAATAATGGACATAATGGTCCAAATATGGAATGTCGTACCTCGCTGAACTCGTAATTTAATTCCCAATCGATTGGCATTCAAACCTTGAAATTTTTAAATTTTGTCATTTTTTCCAAAAAATTGTGATGTTACCCCTTATCAAAAAAGCGAAAATCGATCAAAAAATAAATTTCCCTGAAAGTGATGGGGATCGTTAGCTTAGGTTGTTAGCTGCTCAAAACAGTCATTCTTTTAGCTATCGGCCTTGATTTGTCCAAACTACGACTAAAAAACCGCTTATTTTTGTTTTTTTTTTAATTTTTAAAATAGTTTTTTGACAAGTACTGAAAAGTATTCCACATATTTTCAACCAGCTTCTTTATTAAATATTTTTTATTTTTATCAATTTTTTAAGCTCAAAAATGTAGACTTCCCGATAAGTAAATAAAAAGCTTTTTCTCATTTTTGTCTAACTTTGGTTATAATTTTATTCATTATCTTAACTTGTTCTTGTTTCTTCTTCACTTCCATGCTCCGATCTTCTGGGGTTTTTATCTCACTGCTCTTGCAGCTGCGTTTAGCATTATTTTCACATTTTGTGGTTGGTTTTTAAACATATATTGAGAAATTATGTATAATGTATGTATTGTTATGTGTAACTATATATTAAACATGTAGTATAATTTATGTAGCATACGAAAAAAAATAGCTAAAAAAAATAAACAAAAAGGTATCCTTAAGACGGTGTCCGCATGCTTGTCAGTTTGTCCAGGACTTCTCCTCCTCCTCCTCCTCCTCCTCCTTCGATTCCTGCCCCCCATCCGCTCATCACTGTGGCTTCTGGGTCTTTGGTGGTGCTTGGTGCTGCTGCTGCTGTTGCTGCTGCTGCTGCGTCTCGTACCGCTGGCGCAGGGCGGTCAGGGCGCTCAGCAGCCGACTGTTGGCCGCATCCAGGGCCGCTATCTGCTGGCCCTGCTCCTCGATCACGCGCTGCTTGTGCGACAGCGCCAGCGACATCTTGAGCTGCTCGCGCCGCAGCTCCTCCTCCATGGTGATGAGTCTGCAGGAGGATTGAAAGAAGCTTCGATTAGGTTCTCCACTGAGGGATTACTTCTGCCAACTGTGGCCTACCTGTCGATGATGCTGCGCATGGTGGACTCCGACTGCAGGCTGAGATTGTTCGAGCCATTGCTGCCGGCGCTGCCCGCTGGCCGCTGGATTCCGAACAGCTCGTCGCTGGAGTCGCGCAGCTCGGCCTCGTCGCGGTCGAGCGTGTGGCAGAGCGTGTCCAGGGTCTGCTGCAGCAGCTGGATCTCCCCGTTCTGGTCGTAGCCATTGCCATTGCCATTGCCCTTTCCCTCGCCGCTGCCGCCGCTGCTGCGCAACTGCCTGCGTCGCTTGCCCTCCTGCAATTGATTGCAGTGTCCTGAAAGGGAGAGGTTAATCTTTATTAGCTTCTTGATTCTTTTCCAGGTATCCAGATCCAGGGTTCGGTATTTAACACACATGTTAAAAACATGTATAATTGTAATTTACAGTGTGAGCAAAGTTTTTCACATATATGTCAAAAACAAAAGTGTTAAAATGTGAAAAATAACTTGTGTTGTTTACACAATGTGTTATTAACACGACGTGTTATTTACACACTGTGTTTTTAACACAAATGAAAATTACATTTTATGGGCATCAACAAATTGAAGGGAAAATGAAGAATCAATATTGGACCAGGATATCTTAATTGTTATTTTTAACCGTTTTAAAGCATATATGAATTTTTTTATACTACAGAAAACCGTGAATTTCTGACGTTTTAATGTCAAAAACTCATTTTTAACACATTGTGTAAAAAACACGTCGTGTTAATAACACTTGTGTAAAAAACACGTCGTGTAAATAACACAAATAACCGGTGTGTGTTATTTATGTTTCTAACATATGTAATAACTTTTATACAATAACTTTTTTTGAACATTTAACATGTTAATAACACAAGTTTTTTCCAGAGTGTGTTATTTTCCGAACCCTGGATCCCAGATCCCCCTACTCACCTTCCGTATCCGTGCTGCTGTCGGAAAGCGTTCGCGCCGAGTCCAAGCTCAGTCGCCTCTGGGCCGCCGAAGTGGCTGAGCCCACGCTGCCCGCCACACTGCCTGCATACTGCTTGAGTTCCTGATCCCGTTCCCGATCCCTCTGCTGTTGCAACTGCTGCTGCTGCTGCTGCTGATGGTGTCCTGCAGCTGCCCCGTAGACATCCTCCCGCTTGAGCGGTCCATTTAGCCGCCCGTAGGCCGTTGAACCCCCGCCATTCTTGCCCAGATTTGAGGTGGATGCGGCAGAGGCCGAAGTGGAGGAGCTGCTGCCGCCGCTGAGCGAGCGCTGTGCCTCCATCTTCCCGGACAATCCCGCTCCGGCCGCCGCTGCCGCTGCATAGCTGAAATAGTTATCCGCCGAGAGCTGTTCGTCCGAGGAACTGGGCGTCAGTGTAGCCGCCGCCGTCTCCAGGTTGCCACCGCTGTTGAGAAAAGCTGCTCTAGCGGCCACTAGGCCACCTCCAATGGGCTTTAAGCGGCTGCCAAACTGTTGCTGGGGATTACTAGGTGCCGATGATCTGCCCGCCTGACTCGGCTGCAGCTGGTAGGAGGGATTCTTGAAGGCCAGCGGCGCATTGTGACTGCCCATCGCTGCCTTCAGCTGGCTCTCCACGGGACTGGAGGACTGCGAGGGCGAGGGATTGGTGGAGATGCTCTGGTAGCCGGAGCTGCAGTGGCTGCTCTTCGCCGACAGCTGCTCCTTGCCGGGTGGTAATCCTGGATTTGGCTTCAGGTGACTCTGCTGCTGCTGGTGATTCTGCTGATGATTCTGTTGGCTGTGCTGGTGATGCTCCGCCACATCGTGCTCTTCGGCGTACTTGAACAGATCGTCAAGATCCTCCAGGTTCTTGGGCATATTCGAGTTGGGATTCAGGCAGCCGCCTCTTACATAAACCCCCGAATGATCGGGTATTCCTAGATTCAGCTTGTGGTGGCCTCTTGCTCCTCCACCAGCCTGACTTGCTCCTCCAACCAAACTGGACTTCATCATGGGCGTGGGTGACTTGCAAACAAAAGCACTGCTCGTATCCAATCCGGAAATCTGTATCTGGAACTCGCCGTGCATGTCGTCGTAGCTTCCGCTCTGGTTATTATTGCCCATGGGATGACCACTTCCATTTCCATTTCGTGGCAGTGTCCTGCTGCGAGTGCTCGATGGCGTGCTGGCCTCGTACTCGTTGCCATTATGCGCTAAATAAGGATACGGATTCATTCGCTCCATGGTGCTGGAGGCACTCGTCTGCGGCGCCGGCGGGCAGTAATGTGGATGCTGCATGGGGTGGACATGTTGCTGTTGCTGTTGATGCAACAAATTGCTGCTGCTGCCGTTGAGCGAGGAGGAGGCCATCGAGGTCTGCGATTGGGCATGCTGCAGGCCGCCCGGCGAACTTAGGTATTGGTTTCCCGCAATGGAGGTTTGTGAATGATGATGGGGATGCTGCTGCAACTGCTGTTGCTGCATCTGCTGCTGTTGCAACTGCTGCTGTTGCAATACCCCATTAACCGTGGGATCATTGTACCGAAAGATGTTCTTCTCTAAAGAATTCGGGGTCAGAACTCCCCGCATAATGCCCCTCTCCGCCGACAGAGGCTTGCTGACAATCGCATGCTGCGGCTGGGCCAGCTGACTTTGCTGCTGCTGCAACAGCAACTGATCCGGATTGGCCGGCTGTCGATTCTCCTGATTCTCGCTGGCTATCGAGTGCGTCGACGAGGAGGAGGCCGGCAGATATCCTCCAGGCAGAGCTGTTCCCAGATTCCCATGCTCCTTGGCCCGGCTAATCTCGTCGAGAATGTGCTGCAGTGGATCCAACTCGTGCTGCCTGGCCTCCGGCAGCTTGGCCAGACTCTCGCTGAGCAGGCTGTGCAAAATGGAGAGCTGCTTGCCCTGATCAATGTACCCCGCCCAATCGAGTATCGAATCGGGAGCAGGATGCTCGGGCCTTGTCGATATAATCTCCAGAAACTGCTGCATGCGAGCGGCCTCCTGTTCGAGGAAATCATTCAGGAACTCCATAAAGTTCTCCTTGCCCTGAAACCTCGTGAAATTGGCCAACGTTTGCAGGGTCTTGGCCACCAAAGTGAGATTGCGAGTGGCCCTTGCGGAGGGCAATTCGCTGGTGATATTAAAAAGCGACGGCGACAGGATGGCGGGGCACAGGAAACGCAGAAAGATGCTGGCCGAGATCAGGTTGTCGGCCATATCCTGGCGGCCCAATTGTTGCAGGCGCTCCCGGAAGGTGGCAAAACAATTACGCAGCTGGGCGGGAAAATGCTTGTGCGACTCGAAGATGCACTGCCACGCCCCTCGCACCGCTCCACGCAAAGCGGCCTGCTGACGCTGCAGTGAACCCGCCGACGAACCGCTCGCCTTCGTGGGATCCACCTCGCAATCCCTTTCCGATTGGATGAGTTCGTTAATTGGCGCCGAGAGGGTATCCTGCAGATACTGCTCGCCGGTGAGCTTGAGAAACGCCTCCATGCTCTTGGTGGCCAGCGAGTTGCCCCTAAAAGTCAGTCGCTGATCACCGACGCGTAGTAAATCCAGGGCAACCACATCGGTGAGAAAGGCTCCGGCTAATCCCTGGGCATGCATGAGGAGAACCAGTGCCTGTCCTATATCCTCCTTGGCTTTCACACCAATCACGGGCTCTAGAGTTTCGCAAACTCTCTTGTAGTTCTCCTTGAGATAGGCCAAAAAGTTGGCATACACATTGATGGGCAGGATGTCGGTGCTCTGGAAACGGCACTTGATCCTCAGCGTGGGCAGTTGCTCCTTGTCCTTCGAACCACTCGATCCACCACCTCCAGAAGTTCTGCCCAGACTATCGCCCGCCTTGTCGCTGAGTATGGGATACCATTGCTCGCAGGGCACTCGCGAGGTCACATCGTGAACGGGTATCTTCACTGAACCCACAAACTGATACTTGTCCCGCTTCTTCTTTTTGTCCACCTCCCGAAAAACGTTCACCGTGATCACATTGATCTCTGGGATGTCGGGGAAATCGAAATGCTCGCCCCAGAAGAGCAGATCCGTCTGCAGCTTCACCGACGTCCGCCCGTAGAGCGTTTTGTCCAGCTGCAGTTCGCAAAAGTAACGCTTCTTCGGCGGCAGATTCTTCGCCTCGTAGACCCACATCTTCAGCGAGTTGTCCGTGCGGCGAGTGTGCTCGGCATTCGGGGCTATCGACTTGCGCAGCGAGTAGATCCAGAGATCGCGCTCCTGGCGCGATCCGCACGAGTAGTAGCGCTCGCCACGCGGCCCGCCGCGCACCTGAAAGCAGTGACGCCGCCCGAGGACTGACTGGTGCACCGGCGCCACGCCCACCGCCCCAGTGCAGGAGAGATCTGTGGGGGGAGAAAGGGAGAGGGATTAGAAACCAATAGGAGATCCAGGAGATCCCAAACTCACCTATGGTCGACATGACGGCGTGACTGGACAGCAGACTCTCGTGCGAGCGGGAGCCCCTCAGTCCGCCGGATCCGCGCTTGGTACGCTCCAATTTGGTCACCGACTTGGTCCGCTTCAGGGGATTGGATCTGCGGGGGAAGTAAATAATCAAGTTTAAAAGTTAATAAAAAAGATTTTATATTTGAACCACTGCTTTATTATGAAACCAAATTCACTAAAGATCAGAGTGATATTATTCAAATCATTTTGATATGCATAACGATTATGTTTATCTTATTTCACAATATTTGTTTTAAAAAATATTAAATTTAGTGTTTTAAAACAGTATATTTATAACTTTTATAAAATGATAAAATATCAAGTTGACATGTTTGAATCATAAATTTGACATTAATCATATCGGCTTTTTGTTGATATGAAATAAGGTAGAAATGACTCTATTTCATATCGTTTGATATTATTTTGATAAAAATAAAGATTATGTTTATCTTATTTTACAATATTTGTTCAAAAAATACTACATTTGGTATTTTTATAGCTTTTATGACATGATAAAACATCAAGTTGATATGATTGAATCATAAATTTGACATTGATCGTATCGGCTTTTTATTGAAATGAAATATTAATAGTTCTGAAGCTTAGGAATCTTCTACTTCTACTTGACACAAATTGCCGATTAAAGATTAAAACCGAAACTCACTTTTTGGAAAAGAAGTTGGTGAATCGCGAGGTGGCATTGTTCTCCGACTGGTGCTGTTTGCTGCCCAAAATCGGCGTAGTGGGCGCTGATCCACGGCGGCACGCCTTCTCATAGGAAGTATCTGCAAGGGAGGAAAAGGATATATTGGCATTAGAAGGGGGATTAATACAATACATTTCATTGACCTGCTCTTTTCAGGTGATTCAGATTTCAGAACTTCAGAGTTCAAGCAAATATCTTAATCCCCAAATGATGAATTCCCTGCCCTGCTTCACCCGCACATTTCTCTGGATTCCCCTTATAACAAAACAAGCAGCCTCAACACTTTGGCATTAATCGGTTTCAGTTTCTTTTGTTGTTGTTGTGTATTTTTGGACGACTTTAAACTGGTTTCAGCCTGTCGAACAAAAGACGAAAAGGAGCAGCTGCTGCTCAAATGAATTTATCCCAACATCGCCGCATCACCTGCCGCAAAAAATAAAAAAAAAAGTAAAGTAAAATAAAATAACAACAGCCGGAGAAGCCAGAAGACATGGAAAATGAGGCAGCGGCAGGGGCAGGTAAGCATGATTCATCATGTGCCTCATTACCGTGGCAAGATGCTCAGCGGGTACACTCGAAAATAAACAATAGAACAGAATTGTGTCAAACCAGTACCTTTGAAATTCAGGTTATTAGACCTGTTTTTCAAATAACAAATACCGAACCATCGCATTTTGATACTTGTTATCAGGAATAAATTTAAACTAAAGGTTAAGTTTCAGTTTAAGTTCATATTCAATCAACTCTTGTCTTCATTTAGTTGTATTTATTTTGTGTGAGATATTATTAAAGTATTTCAAAGTTATTATCCCTTAAAGAGCATTCTTATCGATGGGAATAATGCATTATTTTTGATAATATGTTAATTATTATATCTTTTCTTATCTTAATATTCAATAGCTTTCTTTTTATCCCCGATTAAAATTATTTCTAACAAATATTCTGAAAACATCCCCTTAAAATCCCATTTTCCCCAGTGCAATCGTAGTTGAAACTGAGTTTGGAATCCGGGAACCTCAAACCAGTTTCCACCTGGGCATCTGCCTTCATCTCCTCGTTACAAAGCCGCCCGCACCGCCAAGAAAAGAAATAAAGAACGAGCCCGAAAACAAAGCGACCTTGTCGAAGGCAGGCCACCTACTAAGTTAGCCATGGAAAAAAAGGGCGGTGAAGTGGAGAACCCCATATCACTCATATATTATCTCTGACTCATCGAGGGGAAGAGCAAACATCATTCTTATCCGATGGCATGCAAAAGAGGCATCGGGAAAACGGACATTTTCATGTTTTATGGGCTACTCCTTCCGCATTTCCAGGTTGATTCATTTCATTGGCCACCAGATGCAAACACCACGATTTGTCATTCATTCAGAAAAGAAATACAAAATAATACAAAAAGCTAAAGGGGGAGACCAAATTGTGTCATGTTGTGGCATTCAAAAACACACACACATCTTCTATTAATAAAGAAAAAGAATTATGAAATATTCCTATATAAGATCAAAACTCGTTGACGAGCAACTGTATCATCATCTTAATCTTACCGCCAAAAGCGAAAAAGCATATATGAATAAAACAAAATAGAAAAAAAGGTGAGTCTTCATACAAGGTGGGTGCTCCACGCCCCCAGATTAATGCCAAATCTAGAATAGGCACGCAAATCAGGCCAAAAAAAAAGAGTAGCAAAAAAACAACACACCCTATAAACATATTAAAAACATACTTTTGATTAAGGGGAAACTAGAAAACGATGTTATCTTGGCATTTTCTTCACAAACTTTCCATAATAATCTAGGGCAACTGGGGGCTTATCTATCATATTTCTACAGAAACAAGCTGCAATTACTTCTTGAACATTTCTGCTTCATAAAGAAAGTAATTATAATGTTTTACTGCTTTGAACTGATGTTCTTGGCTTCCAAAGACCCCAAGACATAAATTTGTAACCCCGAGTTCAACCACTGATATGGAGGCTCTATTAGATGATACAACAGAGATTCGTTTCTGTGTGGTTCAGGTTCAATAAAATACCATTTTGGTGTTAAATAGGTGGGCTAATCATCGCATATATAGTGCGATGAAGTCAGCCAAGATCAGATCAGGTTATACTATATTACACCTAATCTCTCTGGGAGTGTGTAATAATTTTTTTGGCCAGATGACCGGACCTCTAAAGATCATGATGCTGAAATGCTGCTGACTACACACGCAGATGATGATGATGGTGATATTGCTCATCGCTTGAGTCACTCCGTAATTCTTTGGTTTTTTGGGGAATGGAATGAGGTTTGAGGTTTGCAATTAAAACGGATTAAAGACGTAGAGAGAGAGACGGGGTCGCTTTCACTGGTGATCGATCGCATCGGATCAGTTCGGTTCGGTTCAGATCGGTTCGGATTCACCTTGGGCCCCTTGGGCAGATGCTAACTGTGCGATAAGGTCAGCTCTTAATTATCGACGCGTTAAGTAAACCAAAAGTCAAATGTGAAATGTGAAAAGTGGCAAATGGAAAATGGAAAATGCGTACAGTGGTCACTCGATCACTCGGTATCTCACGATCCGTCAGTGGGGCCCTGATAAATGGAACTATCCAGCGATCGTGGCAGATAAATGGCCCCTGTATCTCTGTATCTGTATCTGTATCTCTTCTTCGCTTTACTTCTCTTCTCTGTGTGTATTTTTTGAAAATGTCAACAGTTCTCGACTTGAGTGATATGTGATATGTGAATCTATGGGCCCACAAGTCACTCTCCACCGATAAGGCGACGATCAATAATATGGTTCCGTTTGTATGTTCTCAAAATCATAAATATCCCTATCTGCTTTTGTCTATTTCATACTATTTCCATCGTCGCGGGTCCGCTTTATCGACGAAAAATAGAAAAACCGCCTTGGGTTAAGTCGTTAGTTACGAAAGCGTTTGCTGTGCCTTATCACATTACAAATAAAATGCAACTGCAACTGCAGCTGCACTGAGAGAAAGCAGGGTGTGATTTAAACTCTGTTCCTAAAAAATGTAAAATGTTTAAATGTGAACTAACTTAGACTTCCTAATTCGAAATTAATATTAAAAAAAAAAACGATATTTTAATTTTCAAGACTCCAAGGATTACAAATTACATCACAAATAGATTGGGTAAATTGTTTTTACAACGATTGAAGATGATTTAACATAATGGCAAGTAATTCAGCTTACAAAAAAATTACAATTTGTTTGCTCATTTTCCCGAATTGCGAATCATCAAATTGACACCAATTACTTGCAGTGCATCAGCGAAAAATGGCAGCAACAATTTGAGTTTTAAAATAAAGCGGTTCGTTTGTTTGGCATTCTCGTTGTCCTCTCTCTTTCTCGCTTCTCTCTCTCAATAGCAAAAAAAAATAAAGAAAAAGAAAAACTGGTTTCTTGTGCGGGTGTGTGTGAATCATAATAAAATAACAACAGTCCAGAAAAAGCAACGAAATTGAAATTGTAGCCAGAGAATGAAGGGGAAGAAGGCGAAAAGAAACGACGCCGCACAGTGGGACCATCATTCCGTCATTTAAATGATCACAAATCGAATTGGTCACACTTCCTCTTGAGCGTGTTAATGCGAATCGATCGGGAGATCGGCCATTTAACGGTACCACCGAGCGTGCCGTCTCTCGCCCTCTCTCTTTCGAACTCATTGAAATGCAATGAGCCTCGCTTCGCTTTGGGCCGTTCCAAGTATAGAAAACTGATTCCGATTCAATGACCAGCACAGCGGGAATAATTCAAGAAGTCGTCACTAGTTGGAAAAAACACCAACGGCCTTCCTGGAATACGAAATCAGAATGCAAGAGGGTAGAGACACACTCCAATCACTTTCGGATCGGATCGGTTTATTTGGGTTCAGTTCGGGCTCTACAAAGAAAGAAAACGATGTCTAATCACAAATAAAGTCTCCTCATTAAATTAAGGTTGTATTCAAACCATAATAATAATAACAATAAAAATAATAATGTAAACAAAATCCATACAACCCATTCTAATTTGTTTTTCTGTAATATGATATATATAAGGCCTATGAGACCCATGGTGCGACGCTTCGTTGCCTTCCAGGGCCATCAAATTGAGCTACAATTGAGCCACACACAATTGGGCTACGTTCCAAAAGAATACATATACTGAGAGGTACATAAACATATATATATATATATTCAGATACAAATATGTAGTGGTGGTGATTGGGGGAGGAGGTTTCACCTCCGATCGTGTGTAAATAAAGTAGCTGGCTTGATGATGGCAAACGTCGCAAAAGAAACGCACAGGAAGGCTTAATAAGAGCCGCCAGAAAGTGTGAAGAACACAGGAAAAGAGAAGGGGCAGTTGCACAGCTGCGGTCACAATAATAGGCCCTAAAACATCTGTCCATTAAAAAGTGCCCATAAAAGTTGTAATTTACAAGTATAACATTGTGTAGAGTTGGAGTTTAATGTTGGTCATTATCATCTCTAAAAGACTGTTCGTTAATAGAACTGGATCATGAGATTAATCAAGAGTTCATTAAACATTTGAATGGTTCGGTTTATGATACCTTAAGATCTATTACATATCAATATTATATATTTATAAGAAAGTATATATATCACATTCATTTCTTAGATTCCTACAACTCTGGCCCATACTGTCTTTAAGGGTGGGGGGTTCTGTTCTCAGTTCTCAATTCTCCGTCTTATCTTATCGTGACCCTGCGTAGATAGGGGAATACCAAATGCGATCGCTGTTCTTCGATACAAACAGCCATTGTACGAAAAACGGGGATCGTTCGATCGAATCGAATGAAATGGTATGGGGTATGGGATCACAAAGGGGTTGTTTTTCGGTTGTTTGCCACAGGAAATACTTAGTACCCATGGGCAGAGAGACAAAGAATTTCGTTTCGTTGGGGTCGAGACCTACCGGAATGATGTCCCGCATCGTCCTCCGCCGCCGTTGTCGTTGTCTCGTTCTCATTCTCGGTAGTTACCGATAGATCCGCTCCAGTTGCGGATGCGGATGCCATATGTATGGCCAGATCCCGGATCTTGAAGCGTTCACAGATCAGTTCCTCGCAATGATCGGCCTGGAAATAGCAATTGAGCTCGTCCAAACTCAGGGGACACACATCGTAGGGCTGGTAAAAGTGTTTGCCCCAACTTCCATTATTACTGGTCGAATCCGATCCTCCTCCTCCTCCGGCACAGCTAGTCGATAGCGATGAGGATCCCTGCATGTTGACCGAAGAAGGATTTACAGATAGTCCACTTGCAATACCACTTCCCGATCCCAGTAATCCACTTTGGTTCGGTTTCAGCAGGGAGTTACTTCGCGACACCTTGGTGGAGTGGGCTCTTCGGATGAAACTGAGGGATTTCTTTGGGGGCGAGCAAATAACCGAGGTATTTGGTGGAGCAACAGCTATATCCGCGGATAGTTTTGGTGTGGACTTTAGTAGAAAGAGGTTTTTCGGCGGGAAACTGTGCGTCAGTATGGACGTGGCCGAGCAGCTGTTTTGCAGTTTATAAGGCGAGGATCCTGAACTCGAACCCACTATCTGACTGACCGTACTGCCGCCAAACAGCTGACGCTGCTTTTCCTGCAGCTTCTCCTGCTTTTCCTGATACTTTTCCCGCTTCTTTTCCAGCTCATCCAAAGCGGCTGCCTCGCGCAAAACAACTGAGGGCGATAGGTTTTGCGGCAGGGTCTTCGATTTAGCACGGAGCGTAATCAGCGTTGTCGTAGTAGTCGTAGTACTGGTACTGGTACTGGTACCGGTAGTACTTCCCATCGATGAGGTAGCCAAACCCCGCTCCACAGAGGGCAGCGGTACGGCCAATATATTGGTTCGCGATCGCGATTTCATTAGCTTTATGGGCGTCGAGGTGTTCGTTTGCATGCGACTGATCTCTGAATCATCGTCGTAATCGTTGCACTCCTGACTATTCTTCTTGGGCGGCGGGGGCGTGGCCAAGACAATATCGTTCTCCTCATTGAAATGAGTGCGGGGTGCCGTAATACCCGTATTTGGTAAAAGATTGGTATTGGATGGTATTGTTGTAGTACTACCCAAAGAACCCTGTTCATTATCGCTGCCATTCAAACTGATCACGTTTAGTACTATACCATATCTCTTGAGTTTCGATGGGGAGGCGGTTTGGGTATTATTATTACCGGTAGGCAGGGACTTCAGCAGCTGCTCCCGATGACGGGCCTCCGATGAGTTCTCCTCGTCCTCATCGGAATCGGAATACTGGGCCGCCGTCTCGCTGCCACTGATGCTCCAGTTGAAGCCGCAGGGCGGCGGGGGAGACATTATTTGGGGTTTCGATGGGCTCGTCGTCTTCCGTTCGAAGAGAGCACTAACCTTGGCCACGCCGCTCTTCACGGAACTCGATTTCCGAAGACTATAGCTTTTCGAAGATTTGCTTTCGGAAGAATTGGTCAAAGAATTGCTATTGCTACTGAGACTGGTGTTGCTGGAGGATTTCTGAACAACCAGATGATGATCTTGACTTGACCCCTCTTCTTCGTCTTCTATTACCAGAGGTACATAGAATGTGGAGCGACGTCTTTGGGTCTTTTCTTCCGGCGTCGCTACTATCGGATGCTCACTGTGCTCAGTGTTTGCTGTGTTGTTGTTGTCTATTGTACTTGCTGTTGTTGTTGTTGTGCTGCTGGCGGCCTGCAACATTTTTCTGTGTGTTTCGCTCAGTGTATTTTCGAGAACATGGCACACACACACATTTGCATGAGAGAGTGAGAGGGAGGGAAAGAGAGAGAGAGAGCGCACGCAGGTATATTTTTTGTTTGCTTGTGTTTGTGTTTGTTGACGACTGACGCTGCTTCCACTTCTTTCTCTTTTCCGCTGATGCTTCTTTTTTTTTAATTCTTGAATCTTATTTATTTCTTCTCTCTATTAGTTTTTTGTACTTGGCTTTCTTTGAGTGTGTGCGTCGTTTGTCGCTTGGCTTATAAATTATGCGCTCAACTGCATTTCCGCGTTTCTTCTCTTTCTTCACGCCTTTTGTTTTTGCTGCCGTTTTTTTTATCGCCTTTTCGCATCACATTGTCGCTCGGTGGTTAAGTTTCTCATTACTTTGTTGTACTACTCTATTTTTTTTGTTTGTTTAATTTTGGTTTTCAATTGCAGCATACACACACTCGCACACACACATTTGCAGCGCAGAGAGCCTGCACTAATACACACGCACACGCATATTTTTTTTCTTCGTGTACAGGAATGCGTTTTTTTTCTCTTTTGGGATAAGAGGGGGGATATAAAACACTTGAACAAAAATAACACTCGCTTTGGGTATATTTTTTAACAATTTTAATATTTAATAGGTGGCTTAACAAACAGGAATATTTTTAGCCAGTGGCAAAAATATAATAAAACAGTAAAACCGACGCGCCAGCGAAGTTAAAAACAATAATAAACGGAGCGATTTGAACAGCCGCTTGCCGCCGCATCCACTCCACCCGAATTCAAAAATGGATCTGATCTAGAGATGTGAAAAACACGGAGCCATCGAGAAACGATGGTTGGCGGGTATCTTTATGGGCAGCACGGGCTCACGATCGACAGTGCTGCCCATGAAGAGTGCTGCCCATGCACTGTCTGGCAGCACTGAATACAATTGCGGCTAAATGAATAGCTACAAATAGTTAAAATAAATAATACATAAAGTAAAGCAAATGAAAAATGCAAATTTGTATTTAAGATTTCAAACCATTATCTAATCATTTTAATTAAATTTGATTTCATAAGTTGATTTAAAATATTCGCTATAAAATAATCTTTTAAAAAAGTAATATTTAATATTATTTTTTGTATCATATATTATTCACTTTTTCAAGAGAGTATCTACTAACTAATTATTTTTCCTACCTCAACTGTTATTGTTTATATATTTCTACATATATATGTGTAAGGTGCCAGTTGGGCAGCCGGGCAACGCGTAATACAAATTAAGGCAACCCCGAACCCCTTAACCATCCATCGTAACGCTTGGTTCGCTCTTTACCTCTATTTTATTTCATTTTTTTCTTTTTTTCACTGCGGAAGTGCGTGACTATGGGTTTTTATGTGACACGTTCACCTCCTTCACCACCAACGAAACGGAAGACTTGTTTACGAGTTACCATTTTCATTCCCATTTCCCTCGGCGCATTGCATTATACATTAGCATAGGGGCACAATGAACTGTTCACTGTTCGTATAAAAGGGAGTTTTCTGTTCTGTATTCTTTTCAACCCTTGACCAAGCGATCGTTATATAAGCCACGTTCCGCCCCTCGAAATTCCGTTACTTTAAAAGGAATGTGAAATTCCCCATCCCCAACATCAAATATTCCACTAATTGTGGAGTTATGCAAATAATCATAGTGTAATCGATGAAATGCTGCATACTTTGTGGGTTATGTAGAGAGCCTGTCATGTCAAGTAGACATTAGGTAAGTTACATGTAGACTTGGGAAAATTACAGTAGATCATTTTAAAATACCTCGATTTATGCAGAGAAATAAAATGTAAGAAAATAAATTGTAAGAAACCAGTTTTTAGTATAAAAAAAAGGAGTGAATTCAATTTAATTACTCTCAATTTATTCCATCTTGTTGGTAAATATTTATAAATCGTTTAAATAACTGGAATTGGGTCTTTAAGTGTCACATAATTACTACTCATTTACTTATTTATCAGCCTTCAAATGTGGTTTTATTTCCTGTTTTAATTTTTGCCATGATTATGATTTTAGGAATTTACTTATCTGTCGTTGCCCAAACTACAAAGTTCTCCAACTCCCCGAGTTTAAATGTCGCCCATGAAAATGATAATACATATATAGCATGTGGTATATAAGCACTTGCTGATAAGTTCTGAGCTTCTGAGCAGATCGCATTGCGCTGAGCCGGCAAAAATAGTCGCAATTGTTTCTAGGTTTCTAGGTCTCCTCTCTAAGCGCCACATGGAAATGATGGACATGAACATCGGGAAAGGAAAGGGAAACAATGTCACGACATTGAGAGGCGGCTAATGCATGAGTAACCCCCTGAAAGGGAATCAATCGAACAATTGTGTTGTTGTTACCTTCATTCAGCGACGTATCGTTTAGCGCCGTATCGAAATGTATGCGAGGCAGTGTCTTCGACTTGTACTCACCTGCAAAAAAAGAGGGGTGGGTAAAATGGATTAGTTGTGTTAAATGCAAATGTCAGAGGGTAAAAAGTAAGTAGTAAATACTAGAGATACTATGTTGTTTTGCAAAACTCGACCCATTTACATGGCCTAACCTTTGAGCTGGTGTGTCGTGAATTCACTTCAATTAATGCAAAATATGAAATACAGACGAGGCGAGACGAGACGAGAGATACAGATACAATTGCTAGACATCGCAGATGGCGAGAGATGGCGACAATGTGGGGCAAGCTCGTAAATTGAGCAATTGTTGTAGGTGACCCAGGAGTCTGAGTCTCCGAACTGAGGAACTTAGGAACCCCGCTGGTTCCCAGCTCAAGCCATTATTATGATTATTATTATTTTTATTGTTCCGTTGACACTTTTTCCCAACACTGCATTATCTACTTTGCGCGGGTCATCGCGGACGTAACTGTGCAACTGTAAATTATGCCGCCGCACAATTGACTTCAAAGCGGAATGACCGATCCAGAAAGCTGATGAACCCAAACCCAGCCAATCCAAAATGATGATTGCGGATTGTGAATTCTCGATGATGTCACATCCGTCATCCATCCGCTTGATACGAAGAAGAGCTCTTCTTGAGTAGAAATTGCGATGACAGATCGAAATAACCCTGAGGGTCTGGAGGTCTCTGGTTTTCCGAATGTCGCAGAATCATTCGGAATTTAGATTAAAGTGGTATGTTGTAGATATTATCGTACTCTCACAATGATTCGATATCATATTCATCATTATATAGCACTTAAACCAATCGCAGACCCACTCGGGTGAAAAATTACTGGAACTTGGGTATTCAAAAAGTATGCAACATATAATTTTGTTCTTATATCCCCCCCACAACCAAATCCTGGATACTCCACTGACTTAAACCATCCGCGGAGGGAAATGTGTGAAAAATTACAGAAATTTGGGTATTCAAAAAGTATGCAACATACAATTTTTTTCTGAAATCCCTCCCACATCCAAATCCTAGATCCTAGACCACAGTTATACTTACTCCTGCCCGTCGTCTCCATGGTAGAAGCACCCGATCCTGACCCAGACATTCGCTCCTGCTGCAGTTGCTCATGCTGCTGCAGTAGCAGTTGGTGTTGCTGTTGCGGCTGATGTTGCTGCTGTTGCTGCTGCTGTTGCAATAATTGCAGCTGCTGCACATCGCAGTGAACCTCGTGAATGGGCGGCGTGGGTGCATCATCCCGTTCGCCCCTCAAACAGGAGGCCAATCCCCTGCCACGGGGCATCGTACTCCGCCGCAAAGCCGCCGACTGGGGTTGCTGCTGGTCCACGGATCTCGATGGATGATGGGAATTTGCCTGGGGCGTTGAGTTTTGGGCGGCATTCTGGGTGGCAGCTGAACTCTGCGGAGCGGTACGCGGCATGGAGTGCATCTTTCGCTGCTGTGGAGTCGTCGTCGTTGGCGAATTTACCGTCTGCATTTGCAGCTCGTCGCTAATTGCACGCAAAGCACCGCAGTTCATTCTGATTTTGGTTAGCTGTATCTTCTATTTGGTATTGGGTTTCCTTGCCAAAGTTGCCTTTGTGGATTTTTGGTTTTCGTTGCCTTGGTAGTTTTGTTAATTGATTTGTTTTCTTTTATTTTTTAGTTTCTGTTAGTTCAGTTTTTCTTTAACCTTGACATGGTTTCCTGTGCGATAAGTCGAAATTTTAGAACAGAACACAACACTCGCGAATCGAATCGAATCACTGGACTGGCTTGGTTTATTTTTTTTATTTTAGGGTATTTTAAGATAAAAGCTCTTTCTTTTAGTATTTTATTTGATTTATTAATATTATAATAAACTATAAAAAAAACATATCTACACAGAATGATAAAATATATTGGCTATTTCATTTCAAATTTTTTCTGTGTAGTGTTGTATTGTGAGATTGCAAAATCCAGCAGAATGTTCTGACCTAATATACCACCAAGATATGATCTTAAACATCCCTAGTAACTTGGGTTAGGCAGGGCTGTTTTCCTTTTTTTTCTCTATTTTTTTCTGGGCCCAAACCATCTGACATCGACGGTTTGGCTTGGTTTCGCTTGCCTGCGTCGGCAATTAAGATTTATGGTCATGGCGTGTTGGCCTCTATAAGCGCACCCCCTACCGGTTTTCACCGCCCTCCCTCCTTCTTCACTGAACCCCCGAAAAATAATAATAATAATTTAAAGGCTCCTACGACACAGCGACTTCTTTTTGTGACTCGAAAATTGTTTAGCTAATTTTTCCAAGTGGTTTTCCATTTTTCGTTCTTTTGCACACGCGCGACTGCGCAACAACACTCCCACAAACAAAAACAAAGGAAAAACGTATAAATAATATTACACACACACATTTCATTTTTTTGGCTTAAATTTTCCTTTTAACTTGTACAATTTTACGCTCGTTGGGTTTTGGTGCTACAGTATCGAAACGAAACGAAAAGAAACGAATCGGAATTGAAATGAAAATGGAATGGAAACGAACTGTTTGTTTATGTATGAGCAGCTGTAGGTGTTTTCCACATCTGATCGAAGGAGAGAAATAGAGAAATCGCCCAAGAAAGAGAGTGAATAAATTATTTAGCCCACACAACGTTGTTTTCAAAAATGCTACAATTAAGTTCTTGTTTAAATGAGACTTTATTCAGTAAAAAAAAAAATCAACAAAGAACGCTAAGGTCTAATCCCTCGACTGTCAGCAAAGCGACTGCTTGCACTGCTTGCACTACTTGAACTCTATTATTTACTCATAGCTTTTTAACGAATGGTCCTATTTAAAAAAATTCTTCTTCATAACGATAAGTACAAATAAACACAACCAAATTGCATTTATACTTTTTCGCAATCTTTAGAAATGTGGGAGCCAGACACCTTTAAACACACCAAACCATCTACTTTTAACTTAACGCATCGTTTAATTCCAGGTGCCAATCGATAAATGCAGGCCAGTTAAATGGCAGGCAATCATAATGTATGCAATCAGCCCAAGGCGTTAAAAATCTTTAATGATCGGGGGGCTTTGGCTTTGGCTTTCTCTTGTTCGCTTTTCGCATTTCGCATTTTCCCCTCCAAAAAGCCAGAAAAAAACATCGAACAGCGGTGTGAATTCTAGGCCTCAATTTTGTGGTTTGCTGATTTCCATTACTGGATTTTCCTCTTGCGTGCGTTTTGCGTTTTTATTTTAGTTTTTATTGCTATTAAAATAATTTTCCATATCTGCTTTCAATTGCTGCGTGCCCGAAAAGAAAACTGGTTGCTAACCATCATCTCATATTTTTCTAGTTGAATATTTTTTGTGTGCGTGCTCTGGTGATAAACATAAATTTCGCCACAGACTTGACTATTTTTTTTGTATTTTTTCATTACTTTCTCCAAACGGTAGCAACGACAGACACGCAG